AACATCTACGTGATTTTACAACTTCAGAAAACGGTAAACAAACTCTTAACGACAAAAAATGATTTTAATGTACTCACCTTACGCAAACTTTTACATAGAGCAAGTTGTATCGGCGAATAAAACATTCCATTACAGCCATTAATTGAGCAAACGACAAGATATGAAAATTTCCGACGATTCATCCAAGAAAACTTTTGAATTTTGACGCGTACGTGAGGAACCCAACTCAGTGCCAAGTCTTCAGAACCAATCACCGGCGCGATACTCTGTGGAAGTGACAGGTCAAGTTTGCTCGCGCCACCAGCGTGCATCATTGGATTATGATGCACGCGCGCGCTACTGAATTTTACTATGTGGATTTGCTAGCTATGTTTATAAATCAACTTGTACAATAGACCAATTTCGATATATTAATATTCTAACTTGGCTCCGAGGCTTAGGGGAATAAGACAAAATAAATTATTTATTCATCCCTCAACCTCGATGTGATTTTTTTACTATTTCTTTTGTCTTATTCCCCTAAGCCTCGGAGCCAAGTTAGAATATTAATATATCGAAATTGGTCTATTATTCCCTTGTTTCTGCCTCGAGCGTGAGTGCGCAAAACCGCAACGATGACATACACCATCCGTTGCATTTAGTCGGTAAAGAGCAGAAAAGGTGCGCGGCGCAACCGCGCCTGACTAAAGCGCGAAGACTGGGACGAGGCAGATGACTGCACGATGACTGCTCAAGGTATTGAGAGTGAGATGAATCGGAAACGTGCACAATTGAAAACGAAAACGTCTATGCTATGATTTTATTAAAAATTGAGCTAAAAGACGTAGTAACTAGTAATACGGATATTTTGTGAGTTGCCGTTCCAGGGGGTTGTTTTGTTGTCGTGCCTCTCTGTTAGAGTTATCCCGATATCATTTAGGGTATTGGGTAGTAAGTGGTTTTGTTTTAGAATTGATGCATCTTAGGAGTGAAACTGAATTCGAGTCACACCCATATAGCGTGATTCTGTTACCCTTGAGGGGTTCCTTTCAAAGGAAATTACCCACCGTCACCCACCGACGTCACTATGATACGAGAGAGTCCTCCCCCAGGTTGGTTGCCGTATACGAGCAATGAGCGAAATATATTTATTACTGCAGGAGTTTACTTCAGATACAAACAATCCCGACTTGCTACGCTTAACAATTACATGTAACTGGGAATGTGTTCCCTTTAGAACCCGAACATCGTGTATTGGTCACGCAACGGTTTCCAAGGCTCACTCCAACTGCCTTCAAAACGGGTGAACAAAAACTATCTCGGATTGCTCTTATTTTTTAAAGAGTTCACAACTAGGTAGTTTATATTTATAGCCTTGGCTTGTTTTTAGGCTACTTGGACGGAATTCTCAAAATAAACTCATGCTATTTAATAGGTTGTTCAACCGCAATCGGGTACGAAAAAATAAAACTGCTAAAAGCGATGCCATCAATTATAATTAAACGAACAAATAAAACAAAGGTCAATAAGAGATGTTCTTTAGGTTCCGATTTAATGATCAGCTATATTTATGCGTTTCCCTATAGCTATGTTAAAGTGATTATTATCGAGTATTCGGATTGCGACCGGCCCTGTCACGCCATTGTTTACACATGAAACGGCATATTTTCGGCAAAATAAGTGATAAACCAGGGCCAATGCGAGCCACTTAAAATCATTTACCCAGATATTTTTTTACATATCCTATTAGATGAACGTATAATTAACCCATAGAAAACGTTTTTACGAAATTTTAAGTTATCGCACATAGATAAAATGGTCAATGTTTTCTCTGCATAAATTAGTTTGCAACAAGTTCGCAAATTTAGCCTATGATTTCGATCTTGTTTCGGGCTCAAAACTAAGTTAGATTTAGTTTATTTTTCATTCAATCGAACAATGAAGACCTAGACAGGATATAATGCTATTTAAAGATTCAAAAATAGCTGTAGTATGGTGCGCGAAGCGATCAAATTTTCCGAAAATTCTGTCTAACCGGAAGTCGATTTGGGCCCCAATCGGGGCAAAATGGTTTTTCGCATATTTTTACCGAAAAAGGCTGTATTTTCAAAACTAACTACAGTCCGTTTAGTTTCTGACCAGGGCCTATCTATGAGCAAAATATAAGCGAATTCGATTTTTTGACTTGTGCCGCCGAAAGTCGATTTTAGTCGATTTTTACAGGAAGTCACTCTTATAGTTTTACAAAAGTATACCGAAGTTTGACCTAAATTTAGTGAAGTATTTAAACAATTATTACATTCTGCTGTGACGCTTTTCGCTTTTCCTTGGCCGGCAAAGTTTCTGCCTTTGGGTAGCGCTCGCATATCATTAAAAATGGTTCAACGTGATTGGCTGCTGGTTTCGCGCGAAAAATGTCTAAAAATAGCCTAACTGCGAATCTGATGGGCCAAGACCCAATACCAGAGATGGAAACCTCTAGTTATAGACCTCTGACTCTATTGAATAATACAGATCAAGTTGACTCTTAAATCTAAACTTGTGAACCAAATCTCAACCGTCACAGTAAGTCTGTAGTTCGTGACCTGAATAATGTAAACACTGACCACTCAAACATAGGATGGTCTGCCTGTGGTATAAACATAAACATTTCTTGCACTTTTTAAATTCACAATGGATTTTTGACAAACGAGAAACTTTATGTGACATGTAATTTACAATTTACGGACAAAGGTATCTATCGATTGACAGGATTTTACTGCGGCCTTTCTATTTCGCTCTTCTGTGACTTCTAGCCTATGAATAGGCTCCGTGAAAGCGAGCCGCACGAAGCCTGGGAGAGAGGGCCCCTTTCTCTCTCTCCCAGTCTTCGCGCGGCTCGCTTTTCCTTTCACCCCATCGCGGAGCCTATTCATAGTGACTTCTGGCTCTGTTCGGTCCATTTTATCCAACCACACATTTGACACACATGCTGAGCCCTTTTGCAGTTCATTATTGGGGTACCCAGTCTTCTCTCATTTTGATAGAGCCTGGAGATTAAAATTTCGGATGAGGGTTTTAGGTCGAATTTATCGTTAACGTTAAATTCAGCTTTAGAATCTCAAGATCTGGTCCAAAATTAAATGTGTCACCCAGCAAATCTACAAATGGCGGACCTTCGATGTTATATCGTTGATTCAGGCTTCATTTCCAGTTAGCGAATTATAGCTTTTAATTCACTTTCTTTTCAGCCATCGGTCCACGGACGCACCTGTCGCACCCCTCGCCTACGGGCCTGATTATTTTAGTGTGGTTAGCCAAAGCAAGATATGTTGCCTTAGGGGTAGGGTTATCAAATGCAATACGCCAAAGAAAAAAATAACAAAACAAACCAAAGTTGCTGCACTATCCTCAACGGCGACAACTCAGAGAACGAAGTCTTGACCTATCATTGAGAGGTCTTGTGAGATTTGAGCCATGCACGTGGCAAACATGTAGCGGGTTTGCGTGACGAATTCAAATTCAAAGTTTGTGCTTGTTTTTATGTAATTGTTCATGCATTATTACATTTACATGTATCTAAAACTATTATAGCAACAACCTGTAGTTTGTTTATAATTCACGGAAATCAGACAATAATGTCGTCACTTCACTATTCACATCTTATATTTTTCGCGTGACAACTTGTTATGTAAATAAACAGCCAGGAAATACTTCCAATTAAAAGACTAAAGGCTAGTAACCAAACCCAGGTGTTCCCCTCCCGCTTACTCGAATTGGCACGAAATGACTTCCTGAGATAGGAAGAGCCGGCACACAAATCCGTTCCCAGGCTCCCAGGTGAACGTACGTAGGAACTAAGCTGAAGGAATTACCAGGTTTAAGTTTTAATTTAAATCAAATTGCTTTTAATGAAAAAGAAATGTGACTTTTTCAATCTTTCGGTTCCTATTAACGAATTTGTGTATGCATTCGTATGTTTTAACGCCTGAGAAAAATAATTAACTTTCACACGAGATTTATTTCACACACGTAATTATTAATTAAATATTAAATATGTAACTTCAGAAACTACGAATCTTGGCAAATATTTGCCAAATAAAAATGTTTACATTAAAATAACCGTCACACATATGTATATACAGTGGGTTGGGCTGTCATTTCTCTCATCACAAGAAACTAATAACTAAATATTAAGTAAAACTAACCTCAATTTCCAAAGTTTTCAGTATTGATTTCCTTGAAGACTAAACCTTTTAAAACAGCAAAGCGTCTAGCCCAAATACAGTTGTAAACAAGTCCATCTTCCGTTCATCCGTATTCCTATTTCCCATCGTAATCATTCCATTGCGAGACTGCATCTTATGTTTTAGTATCGACTTGTTAATTTTTCGCGGCATTTTCCGAGAATCCACCTTACTGATTGAAATCACGAGAGTCCGTAACCCATTCCGTTTACTCGGTTCATGGGCTACATGTATGCGCATTCTCTGAGTAAAAGTTGCAGTAGCCATGAGCACGCATCGCGGGCCTATTTTTTACTATGTCTCCCCGGTTCCCGCCACCTTTTGGGAAGCAGGGATTCCGGGGGGGTGCCCCCTTATATAAGCTATATAGGTATGTGCGGCGCCAAAGAGTATGGTTTTTTGAGCCGTTTTGGTCTGAAAACGCGTATAGATTTTTGACCATTTTGGTCTGAAATAGGGTATGTTTTTGCCTACTGGTCTGAAATAGGGTATAGATTTTTGACCATTTTGGTCTGAAATAGGGTATGTTTTGCCTACTGGTCTGAAATAGGGTATAGATTTTGACCATTTTGGTCTGAAATAGGATATGTTTTGCCTACTGGTCTGAAATAGGGTATAGATTTTTGCCATTTTGACTTAAAATGGGGAAATTTTTCCCCGAAATTTTAAGGGTCAGGTCTGAAAATAGGGAAAATCATATATTTTGGTCTGAAATAGGGTAAGTGTTTCAAGAAGCGTGCCGCACACCCCTACCCAAATTTTTGGGGAGTACCCCCCCCCCCCCCCCCCCTCTGGGGCAGGGATGGCGCAGTGGTGAGAGCGCTCGCCTCCCCACCAATGTGGCCTGGGTTCGAATCCCAGAACCCAGCGTCACTGTGGGTCGAGTTTGTTGTTGTCTTATCCTTGCTATGAGGGTTTTTTCTCCGAGTTCTCCGGTTTTCTTCCCTCCAACCAACACTTCTAAATTTCAACTTGATCTGGGATCCGAGGGCCACAGGTTTGTCAGTCGCAAGACTGTTAGTGTTACCCTCGTTCACAAAGTCGATTTGATTTTATTTCGATTGTGGGAATCCTTTCTTTTTCCCGTAGACTCCCCCCCCCCCCCCCCCCCCCCACCCCTCTCCCGGGTTAAATTCCGAGAAGTCAACAATAGTGATCCAGCACAGTTTTAACAGTGGACGTTTATTGTGCACGGTTACAGCTTCTAAGGGGCGACCCATTTAACTTCTGAGGGGGGGGATGGAGGATTTGGTATAGGCAAGAATTTTTTTTAAAACCCTTTCATGCTGCAGGAATTTTTTTTTCTCGGGGCATTTGTGTGCATGATATTTTTTTCTCCATGTAACATGCTGCAGGATATTTTTTTTTTGTGTGTGTGTTGTTGTGTATGGGGTACGGAGGAAAGTCGCCTTTCCGTTGTGACTGACCTTTGATCGCCATCTCGTTGCTTTTTAATACGTTCAGTAATAATACATATGTATCAGGGGCGTAGCCAGCCCTTTTTTCCCCTTTAAGCCCAATATGATCATAATAGAGAGCTCTAGGAAACGAGCGCCAAAGGCGCGAGCTTCTAGGGGATTCTTGGGGCATGCTCCCCCGGAAAATTTTGAAATCCTAGAGGCTCGGAAATGCTATTTTCAGCATTCTCCACGAGATATTTCGTCAAAAAAATTGATCTTGATCAAGTGTAAAATGACAGGTATTTTTAGTGCTTACAGCAATATTTTCGAGGTTTTGTTAACTTGATACATACATAAAAAACGTGATACACATATTCCGGCCATAGTACAAGAAACAACGTTTTACTAAAGCTTGACGTGTGCAGTAAGGAATTTTTGCACAAGGACCAAATCTGGTAAAGAATTATGTTTATTTTTCAAAATCAACACGTTGATAAAGGTGGGGATTCACTATTGAATTGTGAGCAAAGAATCAATAGAAGAAATTACTGCCTGTTTCAGTTCCTGAAAAAACAAATCAGGGAAATTCCTGTTAAGGACGTTCGCGCCCATTGCTAGTCCGCATCCTTACCTTTTACCTTCCTTACCCAAATGCCTTTTTGGTATACCCTGTTCCAGACCAGAATGCTCAAAAACCATACCCTGTCCAGCGGCACGTACACAACGGCACGTACCTATATAGTGTTTTATAAGGGAGTACCCCCCCCCCCCCCCCCGCCACCATCTTGGATTTGACAAAACTGTAGACTGGTACTGTGTAACCACAGCTATAATAATAATTATTAATGTACAGAAAAAGCTATCTGAAGAAGGGAGATGCAAAAATTATTGTAGTTCTAGTTCCCCTCTTGCCCAAATACAGATGCTATTAAAATTCCAACTGCCTGCAGCAGCTGAAGATGAAGTTGAAGTCAGCCCATCATGTAGTGTCCTTGCAGGAATTTTTTTTCGGTCCACTGAACGTGTATGAATTTTTTTTCTGTCAGTGGTCGTGTGCACAAATTTTTTTTTGAACAAGTTTTCTTGCAGGATATTTTTTTTCAAATCCTCCATCCCCCCCCCCCTCAGAAATTAAATGGGTCGCCCCTAAGTAGTAATCGTTACTCGTTACATAGTTCTAAAATCTAAACCTTATTTTGACAGCGTCTCACTGAGCTACGTTTTCAACTAAAGTTTGTCAGTTTTGACTTTCTATCGCACCATCACCCAGATTGGTTTGTTGAGGTAACAATAGCCCGCGATACACTTGGTGCCAACCGCCCTGTTGTCGTCGACAGTGATGTACTTTTTGTTTTGTCACAGACGGCGAATCGCGCCACATGTCAAGCCACTTGTTAGTACCACTGTGCCCCTCCGAAATACCACGGTCTGAATAGTAGTGCAGTCTAATGATTGTGACAAAACCTCCAGCGGGATCTCTCTGGTTCTGAGTTGCTGGACTGTACTTGTAAAAGCCATGCACGTTTTTTATCAACTGACGAGACTCCCCCATTAGAAATTTTTCGAACTCTTCTTTGTCGTTTTGTGGTGCGCCCGCCTTCCTGTTGTAAATAACTCGGATGGTGTTGACGTCACTAAAACCGAAACATAACCTCTTTCCAGTCCCCCATGTCAGGGTGGATATGACTCGCGGCATCTGAGTGCTTAGTTTTCGCGGCCATGGTGAGAATACAGCACTGATGAAGGGGAAGGCTGGGGAGACCTTTGTAGCAACTAGGGTCCAACCTCCACTCTCCGTCTCCATGTCGCAAAAAGCTTGAAACGAGTCATCTGTGGAGCCACCGTTGGGGTCGATCCAGTACAGTCCGTTACCACGACTCTGAACTGAACGAATGGGAAATATATTTATATTACAGAAAAATGTGACTCAATAGATGTGATTAATAAGATACTTTTTTCAAAAGGCGTCCACTAGCTAGGGTTAGTGTTTTCCCAGAAAAAAGAATTCGTTGTTACAATCATGCTAATAATCTCCATAATACTCACCTGAATTTAAAATATCCAGACAGTGACGGCCTGGGTTATAGGCCACGTGACCCTTCCCAACAGTCACCACCGACAACCAAGCACTGCCATCACAGAGTAGCAACGTATTCTGGGAAGTACTGTAACGAACGGTGCCAGCGGTACGCGGCGTGCATTTGTCAGCGGTGTCGCTAAACTTAATTGCACCACGTGAGGATTTTCCTGGTAAGTCTCGTTCTCCTTTTTGCCCCTATATAATAAAAAATAATTTGTTCTTCAATCATTGTTAGCCTGCGTTGCAGGCACAAGAGGTAAATGCATTCAGCAACTTGCGCTCTATAGTAGCTTTTGCGCCAGCTACACAAACTATTATTGAATTTATATTGAATTTATATTATAAACTAATTGCGATTTTGAGACGGCAATACCACATTATATTTAAATTAAACCGTTTTTTGTCACTGACTCATTGTCATAGTTGTTTAGACGTTTCGGCTAGTTTATTTTGTCTTTGAAAAAGAAAAAGAAAGAAACCTGGATTAAAATTTAACCCCGGGTTAGCGCTAATCGGCCTTCGAACAACTGGGCCCTGGTAAAATCCGTTTTGATGGCGCAATCATGTGTCAGAAATGTGACTTACTGCGTGCGCATGTTTTTTGAATATTTTGTGAATCTGGCGGGCTCGCTGCCAGCATGGCTAACAAGAAAAGCTTCGCGTCTGCGATAAGATACGGTATTTATAAAACGTAGATAATCTACTCAGGTTGTTGAGTTGTATCCCCTCAGACTGCGCTACATCTCAGCGCAAAAGATCACGGAAAAGACCTCGGTCAAGATTTGTTGACAACTAAAGTCGCCGACTCGGTGTAAGTGCGCGCGCTGTATCACGCGTACGCGCCACTTGTATGCGTCAGATGTACAGAGATTTTCTTTTCAAAAACTTCTTCAAACTCCCTGAATCACCAGAAACAATAACTATCTATTTAAAATATCTATATTTTACTAGGAATTAACCATTGTCCTGAGAAATTGCCAAGTTAACTCGGTACATATGACTCATATATGAAAAGAAATTCAAAGCTTACGCGTACAGTTAGCGCGTGCTGATCTTGTCACAGCGCGCGCGAGCTCTGAAATTTTTCCTTTCAATCCAATCAGAGTGGAGAACGAAACCGACTTTACCAGATGTACTCTCCCGTAGAGCGAGAACATCTGGGTACGAGATTAGATGTGATCATTTCCAGCGTCTGCGTCTGTCGTAGAATGCCAGGCTTCAAGAAAAAGTCGCTCGTGGTAATTAGCCTCACGTCCAACAAAGGAAAGGCTTGTACTGGAATATATATTTGTACTGGGACATATATTTGTACCGGAAAAAATAAATCTGTACTAGAATATAAATGTTTGTACTGGAATAGATAAATTTGTACTAGAATATATATATTTGTACTAGAATAGATAAATTTGTATTGCCCCTGTGGGCCACCGTACAATTCAGTGCTGCGATGTCAATTTGAACTTTGTAACCAATCACAGACCAGAAAAGTGAGACGGCAATACCACATTTTATTATACGACATAGCATTTTAGAGTGCGAATACGCACAAAGACGAGAGCAGACATGAGACCGTATTACACGGGTCTCAGTCCCTCTGACCGCGCGCTACGGGAAACTCTGTTGAAAGCCTATATTTTTGGAAATATATTATGTCGTATAATAAACAATTTATTCAGCGGAAAGTTGTGTAATACGGCTGGGCATTTTTACTCGTCAGTGTTTATTTTTTCTCGCCTAAAGGCTCGAAAAAATAAAAACTGACTCGTAAAAATACCCAGCCGTATTACACAACTTTCCGCTGAATAACCTCTATATATTGACGCCTCGCTCGCTAAGCAAACTTATAAGCGGATCGCGATACTGAACTTATATTAAACTTATATTGAATTTATGTTGAATTTTACGAATGTCGCAATTATACAAACTAAGTGTCAGTCCTGATCGACTTGAATGCTAGAACTCAGTCTCCAGATGTAGAAAGCTGCGGGAGACATAAAATAATCAGCGTCATGGTTCACGCTCTCCAAATTACGCATGCGCAGAATTTGGGTCATTTCACGTGTTGCTTTTGCAGAGGAAGGTTAAAGATGATTTCCATCCGTACTGCGCAGGCTCAGGGTTTGTTTTCATTTTTGTTTTGAATTTGTTGATATTTAGCGTATATGAAGTTTTTGAGTCCGCCATTACCGGTCGTTACGTTTAGGAATGCTCGATGAGGTGAAACGTAGGTTTGGGACTGAACGTCGAGGTTCTTCTACTCGTTATTATTGTTTGGCAAGGATATATGGCGTTAATAATGAAGAAAAAGGAAAGTTTGTCCCGGAATTTTTATTTTGGCTAGTATTGACATTCCTTCGTTTGAGTCTCAAAAACATTGCAGGGAGGAGATTGCG